TTGGTTCAGATCATACCTCTAACACCACCTGCACTTTGTCTCCTCAAACTGTTTCTCCTCTAGCCCCACAATGTCTTGTGTGGCGTTCTTCAGGGCTCTGTCCTTGGTTCCCTCCTCTTCAACATCTATATGCTCCCTCTTGGTGACATCATCCGCAGACATGGGGTCCACTTCCACATGTATGCGGATGACACCCAACTCTACCTCTCTGCTTCCACCCTCAACTTCAGGACCATTGCTGTGCTGACAGAGTGTCCGTCAGACATCAAGTCCTGGATGAGAGATAACTTTCTTCAGTTGAACGTCAACAAGTCCAAGGCTCTCCTGATTGGCTTCCGTCAGCGCCTCCTCACTTCAGGCACTGACAGCATCACCATCCACGGTTGCACACTCCACCTTGCTAAGCCAGTCCGGAACCTTGGGGTCTTGTTTGACCCTCAACTAACCTTTCTATCCCACATCTGTGCCATGACCCACTCTGCCTTCCTCCACCTCTGCAACGCCGCCCAGCTCTGACATGTCTCACACCGCAGGCCGCCGAAACCCTCAAACACGTCCTGATTACATCGAGGCTCAACTACGCAAATTCACTGCTTGTCGGCCTCCCAAACTCCTCCCTCCACAGACTGCAGATTATCCAGAACTCTGCAGCCTGTGTCCTCTCCCCCACTGGGCTCCGCGACCCTATCATCCTCATCCTCGCCCAATTCCACTGGCTTCCCATCACACAGAGGATACATTTCAAGGTCCTGGTCCTCACCTTCAAAGCCCTCCACGGTCTTGCTCCCCTCTACCTCTCCGACCTCCTAACACCCTACCACCCTGTTCGCTCCCTCTGCTCAGCGGGCTCCAGCCTACTTCACGTCCCCTCCTTGCTCGCCCCACTATCAGCGGGCGGGCCTTCCGCCACTCTGCACCCAGTCTCTGGAACTCCAACCCACAGTCCCTCCATCTCGCCCTCTCCCTTTCCACCTTCAAGACCCAACTCAAGACCCTCCTCTTTGATCGTGCTTTTGATCTCCCTGCTTCCCCCCCCCAGGTATCCAGCTATCGGCCCATCTCAAACCTCCCTTTCCTATCCAAGGTCCACATTCAATGTAGATAAGTGTGAGGTGATACACTTCGGTAGGAAGAATGATAGGAGGTAATATAGACTCGGTAGCTCAATCTTAAGGGGGGTGAACGTACAGAGAGATCTGGGTGTTCAAGTAAGCGAATCATTAAAGGTAGCGGGGCAGGTAGATAAGGCAGCAAAAAAGGCATTTGGTGTACTGAGCTTCATTAGTAGGGGCAGAGAGTATAAGAGTAGGGAGGTTATGGTTAATCTATACAAAACACTGGTTAGGCCTCAGCTGGAGTACTGCGTCCAGTTCTGGGCACCTTACTTCAGGAAGGACATTAAGGCACTGGAAAGGGTGCAGAGAAGATTCACGAGAATTATACCAGGAATGGGGAACCTTAGCTATGAGGACAGGCTGGAGAAGTTAGGACTTGTCCCATTAGAGCAGATAAGGTTACACGGGGATCTGATCGAGGTCTTCAAGATCATGAAAGGTTTCGACAGGCGAGATAGGGAAAAGCTGTTTCCGCTGGTAGGTGTGTCTGTGACCCGTTGTCACAGTCTTAAGATATCTACCAAAAGAAGCAGAGGAGAGGTTAGAAGAAATTTTTTCACTCAGCGAGTTGTTCGAATTTGGAATGATCCGCCCGAAAGGTCAGTGAAGTCCGATTCGATAATAGCTTTTAAGAGAGAACTGGATAGGTATCTGGGGAAGACGGGTTTGCAGGGTAATGGGGAGAAAGCTGGTGATTGGGATTAGTGAAAGTGACTTGCTCTGTCAAAGAGCCGGCACAGACTCGATGGGCCGAATGGCCTCCTTCTGCACCGTAACATTCTATGAGTCTATGAATCTATGAGAGAGCTGTTGTCTCCCAGCTTAGCACTCTCCTTCCACTTCCTCCATGAACCACTCCAATTGGGTTTCCGTGCTGCCCACAAGGTCACAAATGACATCCTGACTATGTACGATCAGGGCTTCCTCTGTCTCCTCGTCCTCCTTGACCTCTCCGCTGCCTTTGACACCATGGACCATTCAATCTTCCTCCATGGCCTCCTCCCACCTCAACCTTCAAGGCTCTGTCCTTGACTGGTTCAGGTTCTACCTTTCACACCTCCACTTCGTTGCAGCAAGCGGCTTCTCCCCCAACCCCCGCACCGTCTCGTGCGGTGTTCCTCAGGGCTCTGTCCTCAGTCCCCTCCTCTTCACCCTCTACATGCTCCTCCTTGGTGACATCATCAACAGACATGGGGTAAACTTCCACATGTATGGGGATGACAGCCAACTCTATCTCTCTGCCTCCACCCTCAACTCCAGGACTACTGGCATCCTGACTGACTGCCTGTTCAACATCAAGTCCTGGACAAGGGACAACTTTCTCCAACTCAATGTCACCAAAACCGAGGCCCTCCTTATTGGCTCACGCCAGCGTCTCCGCACCTCTGGCAGCATCAGCCTCCACGGCTGCACACTCAACCTCACTAAGCCAGTCAGGAACCTGGGTATCTTGTTTGACCCTGAACTGTCCTTTCTCCTCCACATCCGCGCCATGACCGGCACTGCCTACCACCATCTCCGCAACATTGCCAGACTCCGCCGTTACCTCACCCCTCAGACCGCTGAGACCCTCACCCATGCATTCGTCACATCAAAGCTCAATTACGGAAACTCCCTCCTCATCGGCCTTCCTAATTCTTCCCTTCAGAAGCTGCAGATCATTCAAAACTCTGCAGCTCGTGTACTCTCGCATACCAGGCTCCGGGACCGCATCACTCCCACCCTCACCCGACTCCACTGGCTCCCCATCCCCTAGAGGATCGAGTTCAAGATCCTCATCCTCACTTTCAAGGCCATCCATGGCCTCGCCCCCTCCTACCTCTCTGACCTGCTGACTCCCTACCAACCTGCCCGCTCCCTCCGTTCAGCGGGTTCCGGTCTGCTCCATATCTCCCATCTGCCCCGCTCTACCATCGGTAGCCGGGCTTTCAGCCTCTCTTATCCCACATTCTGGAACTCCATCCCAGGGTCCCTTCGCCTTGCTTCCTCCCTTGCCTCCTTCAAGGTCGGTCTCAAGACCCTTCTCTTGGATCGTGCCTTTGGTTGCCCTCCCACCTCTCTGCCTTCCCTCACCCCTGTACCACCCCTCCACCATTCTTGAACCCCGACCCCTGACTGTTCAGCGCTTTGGGACGTCCTCCCAACATGAAAGGCGCTCTATAAATGTAATTTTGGTGCTTTTGTTGTTGTTGCCCTTCCCCACCCCGACCCTCTGCTCGGGTCCATAACTCTGTCTGTCCAGCACCTTGGGGCGTCCTCCTGATGTGAAAGATGCTATACAAATGTAATTTTGTTATTGTTGTTGTATATGCCCTGACGATGTTCTTCTCTCTCCACTCTCTCTCTCGCTGTTCCTGATCTCCCCTTGGTCGCCTTCTCACCCCCTCCATCTTTCTCTCCCCACCTGTCTCCCTCTCTCTCCCCCCCACCTCTTCCCCCCTCAATCCCCCTCTCTCTCAATCAGCCACACAGGTCACTATCTGCAGCGGCAGGACTAAGTAGTTTAGGACGCAGTTGGTAAGAGATGCGCTTGCCTTCCTGACAAACTGCAGTAACAGTCGGTACTATTTCAACTCCAGCTCCTGCCGCTGCCCTGGGAGGACATTCACCGGGGAGGGAGTGTAAGTTGGAATGTTGGAAATGGTCTTGGGCCGGATAAAATCACCCGCTGGGCCGGATGTGCCCGCGGGCCACCAGCTGGCCAATGCTGGATGTGGCACGCGGATCTTTCTCAAACAGGGAAGCCGGCCCACGCCAGCCAAATGGTTGGACCACCCTGACTTAGATTCCAAGTCCGAGCGTGGGGCCTGAACCCATAATCTTTTGACTCAGAGGCAAGAGTCCTAGCACCGCGCCAGGCTGAGTAAACGAGAGCTAGAGAGAGAAAATGCTTGGATAAAAATAGATTAACATCAGGATGAGACTGACAGACCCTCACAATGAGCTCTGTCCAAATAATCTCTGTCACCACAATGTCACTGAGTGCCCACAGGCTGCTGACTGCAGAGAGAGCCAGAGGGAACACCTGTTCTGCTCTCTCAAGGTGAATATAATCAGAAATAAAATAAACTCACACAATGTGGGGGAGACAATCGACAGGAAGTGATCACTGATATCGTACCATACTCCTTGCCTTGCCTTCTGCTCACCCCTTCTCCAGCTCAGCTGTGTTGAGATATCATCCCGACATGAAAAGTGCTAAGTGAATGTAAATTTTATTGTGTTCCATTTGATATAGTGTCTCTAACCTTGAAACGTCTCAAATCACTTCACAACGTTTCAGTGACTATGTATTTTGTGGGCAATCACAGCAGCAGTTAATTTTCACACAGCATTGCCCCACAAACAGCCATGGAGTGAGTGATCAAATTTATCTGGAGAATTATCAGTCAGGACACCAGGAGAGAGAAACTCCCTTTTCTTTTTGAATAGTGCCATGGGTTCTTAAACAGGCAGACTGGGTCTCAGTTTATTGTCTCATCTGAAAGATATGGATTTGAAGTCCCAAAGTGGAGCTTGACCCCACCACCACACCACCACCTTCTGATCTAGATTGAGAGGAGAGGTGGTTGAGGAGCAGACATACAGTTTCCACTGGCTTCAGGCAGACCTCTGAAAGCTTGTGGTGTCAGTGACAGGCAGGGAGCTGCTGAAAGCTGGACTCAACACTCGCTCTCCACAGCTCACAAGCTGTGTCTGAACTTCAGTCAGTCTGAGAATGTGCCTCCCCTTCATTCCCCCCCACACACACATACACACAGCCCAGCCAGTTGTCATGCTCAGACTATAGAAGGACCTTAGTGCTGTATCTGTGGCCATAATGAGAGACTCCACCCCCTCAGTGCACTATTTATCCTCCTCAGCTCTGCTCTCCCCAGTCAGGGGAGCTGGGAATGGACAAAGAGAGCACCTGCTCTCTGCTGCTTTTCTGATGAAGCTTCTTCATTCCAGTGAGACTCTGCAAACAGTACTCGTGCTGACCAGCAGCCTTTGGCCTGACCGGTAGGGTGCAACTGGAGTAGCTGTTTGGGGTGTAGCAGAGTTCCAGTGGCCACCTCACAGAGGATGTTACCGAATGGAGAAGAGTTGAAACTCCATGTAGAGAATGGACAGTAAGTACAGTGAGCAGAACCTGCACATCCTAACACCAACTACTTGGTCAAACACAGCTATGTTACTGCATGTGGATAAGCTCCAAAAATTGGGTCTTCAGTGGACAGAGAAGATGAAGAGAGGATGCAATAGGGGTCTTCACATTTCTGAGGAGCTTTGAAAGTTTAGATCATGAAGGCAATATTACAGCCTCCCAGGATTGTAAGGGTGGACATTAGAGATCCCATGGCGCTGTTCAAAAATAGGAGGGGTTTCTCCCAGTGTCCTGGCCAACAATCCCCCAGATAACACTTGTCAATAACTTGTCATAGCTGTTTATGGGAGAGTGCTGTGTGTAAATTGGCTGCTGCATTCACTTATAAATCCACAGATCATTGACGTTCGGGCCTTCAGCTTCTCTGACCCCAATCTTTGGAACTCCATCCTACAGTCCCTTTGTCAGTCCCTCCCTCCCTCGCCTCCTTCAAAGCACGTTTCAAGACCCTCCTCTTCGACCGAGCATTTGGCCACCCTCCTTCCCCTACTCTCCCTGCCGTTTCCCCTTCCCTAATGCCAACCCTCTGCTCGGGTCCAAATCCCTGACTATGCAATGCCTTGGGGCATCCTCCCGACATGAAAGCCACTTTACAAATGTAATTTGTTGTTGTTGTAAATCCTGTGAAGTTCTTTGAGCATGCCTCAACGTGCTCAATAATAACAAAAGGCAGAAGCTATATTTACAGCAGTTTAGACATTAAAGTTTATACTTTTAATGATGCATGAAATACTTAGTTTGCAATTGGACTCAATAACAACGCAGTTCTACTGCTCCTTCATCTTGTCTTTGTGATTGTGCACGAGACCAGTTGGAGACCCCTGACCTAGAGTGTTTGGGCATGTGCTATCCTCTGCCTTTTAGTCATGTTTTATATTAATCACGCTTTCCAGCTCTTCCCATATTATTTAATTTTTCTTTACTGTTCCATTGATTCATCCTCAATAAGCACTTGTAGGAATGAAATCCAAACTCCAACAGCAGTGAAATTCCTTCCACCATCTTGCCTATTTTTCCTAATAACCCTGAGATTCTGCCCCTTCTTATCAGTGATATTCCCAACTTCATCTTGGAGCCCGTTCACCTCGTCCCTCTCTTGCCTCCTTCAAGGACTGTTTCAAGAACTTTCTCTTTGACTGCATCTTCAGTCATCATCCCCAACTAAAGGAAATCCATTTTCCCCCCAGTCTCTGTCACATCCCCTCTCAATCTCTTCTGTCCAGTTGAGCCACAGAGAGAGGAGGGTGGAGCTGCACGATCAGAGTTGCAGAGTAAGTAATTTCTGATCCCTTGCTATTCCTAGTGGGATTCATGCCCAGCACCGCACCAGAAACCCAATGCCACTGGCCTGAAATTTCTCATCCCTGTCAGCCTGAAAGACATGGACCACAGCCAACCATTTAATCACCTAGCTAGAGGGACAGGGAGGTGACTCGCCCCTCACTGTGTATCAGACACAGAGCCATATACTCTGGTATTCTCCTTCCGTCCTTCTACCTGGGTTTACACAGACTGACTTAACTGCCTTTGACTTACGCTAACTCCCTGCTTGCCGGACTTCCCAACTCTTCCCTTCTCAAACTGCAGATTATTCAGATCTCTGCAGCTCATGTCCTCTCCCGCACCAAGCTCCGTGAGCCGATCATCCACATCCTTTCCCGCCTCTACTGATTACATAATACCCCAGAAGATCAAGTTCAAGATCCTCGCCTTCACTTTCAAAGTGCTCTTGCTCCTCCTTACTTCTGCGATTTATTAACATCTATAGCCCCCTCCAATCAGTGGTCGGGCCTTCAGCCTTTCTGTCCCCACCCTCTGGAACTCAATCCCGGAGCTCCTCCGCCTCTCCCCCTCCTTTGCCTCCTTCAAGGCCCGTCTCTAGTCCTTCCTCTTTGACCGTGCCTTCCGTCATCTTCTCACCCTTGCTGCCCTCCACCCCTCTTGATTTCGACCCCCAGTTGCAAACCCTTCACTGTCTAATGCCTTGAGATGTTCTCCTGATGTGAAAGGTGCTGTGGAAATTTAATTTTTGTTGTTCCTAGTGTAAGAATTTGGCCAGTCCACACTTGCTGGGGCAGTCTTGGTGCTTAAAGACTTCTCACTAAACCATTGTGCAGGTCATTTGGGGTGGGTGCGGGGCGGATGGGGGCAGGGGAACAGGTCAGATGTTAATTAAAGACCCTGATGGATGAGAGTGAACCAGGCTGACACACAAGTCCTGGCTATATTGCAAACTAAGTATTTCATGTATCTCAAAATAAAGTATAAACTTTAATGTCTAAACTGCTGTAAATATAGCTTCTGCCTTTTGTGTGTTTATGCACTTGGACTCCAGGTAACGCCTTCCAGCAGCTGTCACCCCAAGCCTCAGTTTCCTCATCAGCTATGTGCCAGATATCTGCCTTCAATATGGTGGGAGGACCTTTACAGGATAGCTTGTGATGTCCCAGCCACCTTGAAGTTTTTGAGGCCCTAGTCCAATGCTGCATACCAGATGCACTCAACACCAGCTGTTTAATCCAGGTCCTCATGTGAGGCCTTGGAAAATAGACGTGGTCTCTTGAGCTGCACAGAGCTGTGTTTGGGACCTCGTGCTGTGCGCAAAATGACAGTCTGGTTTGTTACAAAAAGAGTCACAACACTCTACATTATTTACATGCTTTGAGTTCTATCGCTATGATGATAACATGGCCCCAGGCCCTTGGGTCTCTACACACTCTGATGTGAAGAGTAAAATCTTACTCTTCTTGTTTTAGATCAGGGGGCAACAAACGGGAGGTCTTGGGGCAGGAACTCACAAGCCAAGGTCATAGGTCAAAGCCAGACCAGCCAGCGGAGCAGGAGGACTCAGGGAAATTCTGCACAGGTCAGTTTCCAACCAAATAAATACAGTACATCGCTGCTTCATCTGCTCTTTGTGAGCGTATGTGAGCAGGCGAGAGTGTGTGAGTGAGTGTGCCCGTGTGTAAGTGAGGCAGAGAGGGTGTGTGAGGGAATAAGGGGGACAGGATAAGGGAATGAGTGAGGGATCATCAATAATGACATGAATGTGGGTTTGTTAGTGATTCTGATACCTTTCTCCTCACAGGGAGGTATCATCCTGTTAAATTAGGCGACGTATTCAATAGAAGATACCAAGTGATTGGAAATCTGGGGTCGGGCAGCTTCTCTACAGTGTGGACGTGCTGGGATGTGCGGTGAGTACCGGGACCTTCACCGAGGGAAGCTTTGTTTCCTTTGTTTACAACAGAGACAGCTGCTCGTGGAGTCTGCCAAATTCTGAGTATACTTTATTGTTTCACAGAGAGAAGAGATTTGTGGCCACCAAGTTGGTGAGAAGTGGAGAGGGTTTCACAGAGGCGGCACAGGATGAAATTCAGTTCCTCAGATGTGTGAGTACCTTACAGCAAAGTGTACATTCTATCTGATCAGGGATAGACAGGTGTCAGCCTGGCTCAGTTGGTAGTGCTCTCGCTACAGAGTCAGAAGGTTGTGAATTCAAGTTCCCCCCATCAGGTCTTGGAGCTCAGTCTAGGCTGACACTCCAGTGCATGCTGAGGGGGAGTGCTGCATTGTCAGAGATGCCATGCTTCAAATTATAAGACTCAGAGGCTAGAGCACTGCCAACTGAACTGGGCTGAGTGACCACAATCAGTCTGTCCAGCAAATGAGCTACCCAAGTCCTTGTTGAATTTCCCTATACAATCTGCCATTATCGAGTCCCTGTGAGAATGTGGAATCAATCTTGAGTCCCTTAATAGGGAGGCACTTGAGATGTGAAATGAAGAGAAAAGGTAGGAAAATGGGATTAAAAGACCTGCAATCATCTAATAAAATGGTACAACAGGTGTGATCAGCAGTCTCCCTGGATCCAAACCTTCCTGAATAATAATAATATTATTAATAATTATTACTAATAAATAGAACAGTTATTTGAAAACACCTTTCAGGTCATTGAAACGTCTCAAAGCACTTCATAGGATACACTTTAAAGTGCAGTGACTGTCTATTTTGTGGGTGAAATGCATCAGCCAGTTGTGCACAGCAATGTCCCACAAACAGCCATAGAGTGAGTGACCAATTTTATTTGGGGAAATGTTGGCCATGACACGAGGAGAGAGAAACTTCCTTCTGTTTTCGAATAGCGTCATGAGATCTTTAATGTCCACCTGAACAGGTAGATGGGACCTCGGTTTTAAAGGACGACATCTCCGAACAATGCAACACCCCACCAGCGCTACATTGGAGTGTCAGTTCAGACTGTGTGATCCACAAACTTCGGACTCAGAAGCAAGAGTGTTACCACTGCGCCAGGCTGACAAATTTTTTATATAAAGAAGAGTTTCTGTTTTTCAGGTGAGAGGTCGAAGGTCCAGCGATGTGGAGAAGGAGAGAGTTATTCAGTTATTGGATAACTTTTCCTTGGTCGGTGGCAATGATCTTCATATCCTTTCAATCTGCTTTTTGTAGTAATATAATAATCCTTGCATTTGATATAATGCTTTTCACATCTGGAGGACATCGCAAAGCTCTTCAAAATTTGCCTCGTTGGCAAAGGGGACAGTCCGATCTGTGCACAGCAATGTCCCACAAACAGCAACTGAATGGACAATTTTATTTGGGGGATTGTTGATCAGGAAACCGGGAGAAAGAAACTCTTCTCTTTTCCAAAAACTGTTTCATTTTCATTTTGCAATTACAGTACAACAGAAAAACAGCAAAAGCAGCCAAAATGAAAGGCTCTATTCTGGGACAGGAATCCTAGAAAGTCATTCTATGTATTCAACGCAGTTTATAATTAACACATAGAGTGAGTCTATCAATAAACCAAAATCAGGCCACATATCTACACATAAACTACTTGAATTTGAAAGAGGAATGGACTAATCAGATCCCCACAATGACAGTACTTGGAGTCCTGTAGAGTAGTGGTTAGCGCACAATTGAGTGGACCTGAATGGGTTTGAATCTTGGGAAGGGCGAAACCTTAGGCAAGTTTCCTTACTCCACGTGCCTCTGCTTATCTAGCAGTAAGTAGGAACCCAGTTGTTAGTGGATTGCTTTCCAGAGTAATAATCCCTCAAAAAAAATTGAGCACTTAATCCACAACTATTTATGGACATTGCTGTGTGCAATTGACTGCCACGTTTCATCCACAAAATACAGTCAATCCATTTTACAATATATTCTGTGAAGTGCTTTGAGAAATCTCACCTACGTGATAAGGTGTTTTGTATATAAATAAAATCAAATAAAAGGATTATTATTACTTGTGATTTGGTCCAAGAGATCAAAGATGCTCAGAGTGTGGGGTAAACCCTCAGAAATATTTAACATCTCTCTGAGCAAGGAGACAGGCACCTTGGCTTAACTAAAGCACAGGCAGCTTTTACACACTAAGCCGTTGGGGATGTCATGGCCAGTTCTGCTTCTTTGTGAAGGAGCAAGTAACAGAACACAACAGTGGCTGTTATATTCGGTCTGGGAATGGCACATGACATGTAGTCTTTCATGAATGGTCTGAACGTAATGCTACAATATAGAGAGCTTTATAAATGGGCTGCGAAGGTATTTGAGTGCATGTTCTTTATGAATGAGCTGTGTGTAGGTTCTTGAATGTGTGTTTTTATGAATGGGCTGAGTTTTATATTTGAGGCTGTTGCCTTTTGTGAATGGGCTGAGTGTGTTAGCAATCCTGTGCTAAGATGAGGAAATGAGACAAAGGTACGACAAAGAATAGCTTAAGATGCATCAAAGCTCAGAGGGAGTTCCTGATACCTGCCACCCACCTAGTAAGGGCTCAAACCTGCACTTGTCAGATATCAAACAACTAACTAGTGACTTTATCCTCCTTGGCGGCAGGTAAATGGGGTCTCCTTGAAGCTGAGTTGGCTTTATGTGTCTCTACCTCTTCCCTTCTCTGTCTATTTATTCCACCCTAAAACCTACCACTATGACAATGCCTTTGCTCACTTCCTTCTTCTTTGCTTGGTGTCCAACCCCATCATTGTGAGATGTTGTCTCCAAGATGGTGTCTAACTTGTAAGGCACTATATACACTCAAGGTGTTGTTGTTGTCCACTTATGTCATTAAACATCAGGACTCAGTGATATGTGATGACCTTTAACCCTCTTCCCAGATATGTGTCTGGTATTTGAGCTTCTTGGTGACAATCTTCACCAGTGGATTCTCAGGTCAAAGCGTCAGGGACTGCCCATAGCGTGCGTCAAGAAGATTATCCAACAGGTAGGATGGGCACTAAAACCCGGCCCTTCTCTGGTGTCATGTCAGCTTCACTCAGCCTCTGAATCAGAAGGTTGTGGGCCCAGTTCTCAGTGGCCAGGAACACAACATTGCCCAGAATTATAATCAGGTTTAAAACTGCCTCTGCCCAGGCTCAGCAGATTGCGGGCAGAACCCGGAGCATACAATCATCTGCCCGGACTGTCTATGAACAGTCAATGGCACAGATATAGCATTGGTCTGGATGAAGAATCCCCTTCGGCCCATCTGATCTCATGATTCCAGAAACACCACCCATCCCCCATCACAGCATCAAGCTGCTTCTTAAATGAGTCCCAACAACAACAACAAGATTGCATTTATAGAGCGCCTTTCACGTCGGGAGGACGTCCCAAGGCGCTGGACAGTTGGGTCGGGACCCGATCAGGGGGGAAATGGTCAGGGTGAGGGGAGGAAAGGGAGGGAGCGAGGAGGGGGTAGAGAGTCGAGAGGGGAGGTGAAGGCACGGTTGAAAAGAAAGGTCTTGAGACCGGCCTTGAAGGAGGAAAGGGAGGAAGCAAGGCAAAGGCACTGGGGGATGGAGTTCCAGAGCCTAGGAGCTGAGAGGCTGAAAGCCCGACCACCGATGGTAGGGCGGTTAGGGCGGGGGATGTGGAGCAGACCGGAGCCAGAGGAATGGAGGGTACGGGCAGGTACGTGGGGGGATAGTAGGTCGGAGAGGTAGGAGGGTGCAAGGCCATGAATGGCCTTGTAGGTGAGGATGAGGATCTTGAATTTGATCCTCTGGGGGATGGGGAGCCAGTGGAGGCGAGCGAGGGTGGGAGTGATGTGGTCCCGAAGCCTGGTGCGGGACAGTACACGAGCTGCAGAGTTCTGAATGACCTGCAGCTTGTGGAGGGAGGTGCCGGGAAGGCCAACGAGGGGAGAGTTCCCATAGTCCAGCCTTGAGGTGATAAAGGCATGGACCAGAGTTTCACCAGCATGAGGGGTGAGGTAGTGCTGTAGTCTGGCAATGTTCCAGAGGTGGTGGAAGGCAGTGCCAGCTGTGGAGCGGATGTGGGGAAGAAAGGACAGGTTCCTGACTGGCTTTGAGAGGTGGAGAGTGCAGCCTTGGATGCTGATGCTGTCAGCGCCTGAGGTGCGGAGGCGCTGACAGGAGTCAATCAGGAGGGCCTCAGTTTTGCGCACATTGAGCTGAAGAACGTTGTCTCTCGTCCAGGACTCAATGTCGGACAGGCAGCTGTCAGGACATCGGGGGTCGTGGAGTTGAGGGTAGAAGAGGAAAGGTAGAGTTGGGTGTTATCCGCATACATGTGGAAGTTAACCCCATGTCTGCGGATGATGTCACCACAGGGGAGCATATAGAGGGTGAAGAGGAGGGGACCAAGGACAGAGCCCTGAGGGACACCGCACGAGACAGTGCGGGGGGTGGAGGAAAAGCCATTAGCAGAGACAAAATGAAGACGGTGGGAGAGGTAGGACCTAAACCACTCAAGGACAGGTCCTTGAAGGTTGAGGTGGGAGGACAAGCGGTGGAGGAGGATAGAGTGGTCGACCATATCAAATGCGGCCGATAGGTCAAGGAGGAGAGGTGGCAGAGGGAGCCCTGGTCGCAGATGGTCAAGATGTCATTAGTGACCTTGACCAGGGCGGTTTCCGTGCTATGGGCAGCACGGAAACCCGACTGAAGGGGTTCAAAAAGTGAGTGGGTGGAGAGGAAAGAGCGCAGCTGGGAGACGACGACTCTTTCGAGAACCTTGGACAGGAACGGAAGGTTTGAGATGGGCCGGTAGCTTGATAGCTGCGACACATCAAGGGAGGGTTTTTTCAATGTGGGAGTGATGGTGGCAGTTTTGAGGCTAATGGAAACAGAGCCAGAGGAGAGGGACAGGTTAATAGGTCTGTGAGAAGTGGGGCAAGGAGGTGGAGCTGGGAGATAAGGAGTGGAGTGGGGATGGGAGCAGGTGGTGGGTCCCAGTGTCCTAGCCTCAACCCCCACTTCCTGGCAACCCTGTTTCAGTAATTGATTCCCCTCCGGGTAAAGAAAACCTCCCTGGTATCTGTCCTGAAGTTGCCCTTTACAACTCTAAACCTAAATCTTCTTGTTCCGCTGTTTTGGTGCATCCCAAAGTATCTTCGGTTTATTTTTTCAATCCCATACACACCTCTATAAAGTCCCCTTTGAATTTTCTTCTCTCAAGACTGAAGAACCTGAGCTTGTTGCTCACAGCTCATTCTCTAACACTGGGGTTCAACCTCATTGCTCTCCTCTGCACTAGGCAGCCCCTTAAAAGTACCAGAAAAATATACTAAAAATCTCAATTTCGACTCAATGTCAAAATTCTACTTGTGTATTAACAAGGCTTGTGGAACTGAGAACTGAGCAATCTGATTGGTTCCACTCTGACTTTACATGGCAGGTTCTTCAGGGTCTCAACTATCTACATACCAAATGTAGGATTATTCACACTGACATCAAGCCAGAGAACATCCTCCTGTGTATTGATCAACAGCACCTCCATCAGTTAGCAGTTGCACAACAGAGAGATGGTCACAGCCCTTTGGGAGCCTCAGGTAATGGACCAGGCCAGGGGAGTATTGAGCATTCACTAACCTCACCTCATTCAATGTTGGCCATATCGTTCAAAATTCATAGATCCTTAGGATTGTGGTAGAGCAGGAGACTATTTGTGCTGGTTCTTGGTCCCCAATTAGAACTATTAACTGCAACCCCCATTCCTCTGCTCTTTATCCAATGTCACTGCGCTGGTGGGTGTTAGCTCCCCTTCTTGCAGCTCTCTTTGCTAACCCAATTCCTGAGTAGCAGAGGCACAGATATGCTAGGCTGAACCACTCATTCTGTGTTTAAAAAAAAGTATGTTTCTGTACACAGACTGAGTGTGTGTCAGCCTGGCGCAGTGGTAGCACTCTCTCTGCGATATCAAATGGAAGGATTATTATTATTATGTGTAAAACCTGAGCTGAGATTTGAAATGTCCATCCCGCTGACCTGGAACTTCTCGTTGTTCTCAGACTTGGTCCGAGCACATGCACCAGGGCTCAACCTCTTAGAAGCTAAAAGCGCTGAGAAAATACAGGTGAAAATTGGGGACCTGGGCAATGGCTGCTGGACGGTGAGTGCCACTCAGTCTTGGGGGGCTGTAGTCAGGTGGGGGAGGGAAATAACAACATTTGTCACGTTTAATACAACGCCTTTCTCAAAGCGCTTCACAGGATTTACTGTAGAGTGACTGTGTGTTTATAGGTGAACACTGAGGCTGTGTATAGAATAGGGCAGTGCTGAGCAGTCAGGCATAGCTACTCCAGTCCAAGGAGAGATTACCTGAGTGCTGGCATATGCATCCACCATATATCTGACTTCTGCCCCTTTCACATCAGCAAACTGGAGCCTGGGTTTGTGTATGAGCAAAATGGTTCAGGGTTGTCCTTCTGAAGGGATTATCAGACCATTATTTATTCCCCATCTGGGTGTCTGACACATGCTGAAACCCTTCACCATGCTTAAAAGACCAGAACTAGACAGAGTTCCATTCCTGCCACCTATACGAGGAAATTCTGTGGCTAGAATTTAATGCGCACACTCACCCTGGAGGGATGCATCCTGCTAATTCCAGAGGACCCCAGAGTGGGAAGAATCCCCAGCCCAGTGACTGGTCTGCCCTTCCAAGTCCTACTGATGAGCCAGGCTGGTGGTGCTGTCATTCCCAGTGTCCTGGAATACTGTGGACTCGCTGGCTCAGGAAATGGATTATCATGACTGCCACAGAGAGCTGGCGCGATTCTGACATTGCCAAGCACCTGGAGCTGAGCTGGAATGCTAGCTGTGAAGTGTAGAGATGGTGTTGATTAAATTAAAGCCTTGAAACGACGGACCATTATTTATTACCCATGAAGCTTCTCAATGCTTGTAGCTTCCTATAAGCTTATTGATGCACTATTTGCTCTGTTTCTTCTCCTGCCCCAGTACAAGCACATTACAGACTTGATCCAGACCAGACAGTACCGAGCTGTGGAGGCCATCCTCGGGGCTGGCTATGGGCCACCGGCTGATGTCTGGAGCACGGCGTGTATGGTAGGAACCAAGCAATGCATGTAAATGTCACCATGACCACTACACTGCCAGTTCAGTCTGTCCCTTCTCACCACACACGGTCAGGTTTGTGAGGTGTAGTTTCCAAAGAGACTTCACCACAAGACCTTATAAGGGACCTCTCCAACCTGCTCATAGCCCATTTCTCTACTTCCCCCTTCACTCCGTTGGCCAGGGCCTGCTGCATGACCCGAGACCCTCCGATTTACTATCAGCCACTTCGCCCTGAACCTTCTGGAGCTCCCTGCCTTAACTTTCCTAGTTAAAATTGAAATAAAATTGGTTACTCACTCCATGGCTGATGGTGGAACATTGCGCACAGTCAAAGAACACTTTACATTAAATCCTGTGAATCACTTTGAGATGTCTCAATAATGGAATAAGGCTCTCTAGCAAATGCAAGGGTTATTATTATTATTTCTGTGCCTGTAGGCGTTTGAGCTGGCGACTGGAGAGTACCTGTTTGACCCACGAGCTGGGAAGACCTTCTCCCGGGAAGAGGGTAAGGTCACCTGGTCATCAGAATGTACCAAACTGGGAACGTCGGGATGTATGGATACTAATGAGAGTTAAAGGGAAAGTCTCAACGAAACTCCTTACACAGAGGGTTGTGGAACTCTCTGCCACAATCCATGGTTGAAACAATGAAGAAAAATTCTTCCTTCGGATAAGATGTTAAGCACTATCCCGCGTGAAGGGCGCTAGCTAAATGCAAGTTGCTGTTGTTATTGTTAAACCAAGACCTGTTCAGATGGACATTAAAGATCCTGTTAAGCTATTTGAAAAGAGAAGGGAGTGAATCCCAGTGTCCTGTCTGACAGTACCCTGGATCAGTGTGGCCAATAGGCAGCCCGGCTGGTGATTTATTCTGGCCCGTGACCATTTCCACCATTCCAACTTCCACTCCCACCCTCCCTGGTGAACGTGCTCCCGGGGCAGCGGCAGGAGCAGTAGCCGACAGTTGCCGGTGATGCCGCCTGTTGCTGCAGTGTGTACGGGAGCTGAGGGGTAAGTGAGCGCGGCTCCTTATCCACCGCGTCCATAGCAATCTCCAGCGTCGGCCACTGCACATAGTGACCCGCACAGCTGATTGCGAGAGAAAGAGAGATTGAGAGATAGGGAGAGGGGGAACAGTGAAAGGGGGACAGGGACAGAAAGAGAGGGGGACAGAGAGGGAGGGAAGGGGTCAGAGAAAGGGGGACAGAGACAGAGAGGGAGGGGGCAGATAGGGAGGGGAGGGGACACAGAAAGGGGGACAGGGACAGAGAGGGAAGGGATGGGGACAGAGAAAGGAACAGAGACAGAGGGGCAGAGGGATAGAGAGGGAGGGGGACAGAGAGGGGGAAACAGACAGGGAGGGGAGAGGGGGAGAGAGGGGGACGATGGGGGAGAGAGGTGGGAGATAGAGAGATTGAGAGGGGGAGAGGAGGGAAAAGAGTGATTGAGTGAGAGAGACAGAGATTTGTGAGAGAGGGGGAAGAGCGAGAGTGATTGAAAGAGAGAAGGGGCAGAGAGAGTGATTGAGAGATTGAGAGCAGAGAGAGAGATTGAGAGCATGAGAGAGGAGAGTTGTGAGAGAGAGTGAGAAGGGGGAAGAGAGTAATTGAGAGAGGGGAGAGAGAGGGAGAGAGAAGGGAGAATGATTGGGAGAGGGGGAGAGAGAGAAACAAAAAGAGTGAGAGAGCAGAAAGAGAGAGAGAAGTGCGGGCAGCGTTTCTTGGTTCACTGTCAGGACAGATGAACGGAGTTTCCCTCGGGATAGGCACTGAGATATGTGCCGTGCAGTTTCCTCACAGAAAACTCGCTCTTTCCCCAGTGAAAAACCTTTCTACGTCCTTCATTATCTCCCACCTCTGCAACCTCTGTGTGAAATACCAGACTGGTTCTTATTCTCTTCGTTTGCCTGTCTCTTACATCTCTCCTCTCCTGGCAGATCACATCGCACATATCATCGAGCTTCTCGGCGGAATCCCTGTACCGTTTGCTCTGTCTGGGAAGTTCTCCAAAGACTTTTTCAATGTGAAAGGTACAGAAATCCCCCCCAAAATATCCCATAGAATAGTGGTTAGAGCACTTGCCTCGCAAGCGAGAGGATCCGGGTTTGATTCCCAGGTAGGGTGAAACCTTGGACAAGTTTCCTTACTCCGCACGTCTCTGTTTACTTAGCAGTAACTAGGAACCCGGTTGTTTAATTGATTGGTGGATTGCTTTCCAGAGGTAATAATCCCTCAAAAATAAACAAGTTGTTCACTCAATCCACAACTGTTTGTGGGACACTCCTGTGCGTTTCCCCCACAAAATACACAGTCAATTCACTTTACAGTGTATTCCGTGAAGCGCTTTGAGAGTCTCGAAGATGTGATAAGGCGCTACACCAAATGCAAGGATTATTATTATTAATATTAATAAGTTCCCTGCTCAGCGCAGCGGTGCACTGAGTTACCCCACCAGGCAGACCCCAGGTTCCATCACTGGCCTGTGCTGAGTTGGACCAATACCACCTGGGAAAGCCAGGTTCAGGTGGTCGTTAAAGAACCCATGGCACAATATGAAAAAGAGAAGAGAGTTTCTCTCTCCTGGTGTCCTGGCCAACAATCCACAAGATAAACTTGGTCACTCACTTCATGGCTGTTTGTGGGACATTACCGAACACGCATTGGCTGCCACGTTCACCCACAAAACACATACTTTACAGTAAACCCTGCAAAGCACTTTGAATTGCTCTTGCAGTGTGAGAGGCTCTGTATCAAATGTCAGGATTATTATTGTGTCGCACTCAATCTGTCAGTTGTTGTTTCTGCTTTTCCCACCAGGTGAGCTCCGCCACATTGTCACGCTGAGGCCCTGGGGCCTGGACCACGTCCTGCTGGAGAAATACGCCTTTCCTCTGACAGAGGCCGCTGTCTTTTCAGATTTTCTTCATCAAATGCTCCAGTTCATCCCACAGAGAAGGGCAACTGCTGCCGAGTGTCTCCAGCACCTTTGGCTGGATGTTTAGGGCTCGGGCCATCCAGATGTGCCTACAACGCAGTCCAACTTCAACCCAGGGGTCTGAGAGGTTTGGATGAAGAAGACCCTTTGGCTCATCTCAGGCCATCTTTCCAGAATACCCATCCTGCAGTCTTCCTATGACAACATGTCTTCACATTCAGTCATTCTGCCACGTTCTCGAGAGCTCCGTCCTGGAGTCTCTCCGACTCGTTCTCTCCGTCCCCTCGTTCAAGACCTTACTATGTATTGTGTTATATTAAATGAATCCAAGTTTCCTAACCTCAATCACCCTTCCGAGTAACCTGTTCCAGCTGTTGTTGCCACATGTCTGGAGATTTTGCCCAACATCTTGCCGGCTCCACTGGCTTCCCATCCCCCCTTGTCCTCACTTTCAAATCCCTCCATGGTCTTGCTCCATCCTACTTCTATGACCTCCTCGAACCCTACCCACCTGGTCACTCTTTTTGTCCAGTGGGCACCGACCCCCTGTTTCATGTCCCCTGCCCTATCATTAGTTGCCGGGTTTCCATCTCTCTGCCTCTCTCTGGAACTCCATCCACTCTGGAGTCCCTCCGACTTGTGGCCCCCTCCCCCCATCACCACCTAATTGAAGGTGCGTCTCAGGCACTTCCTCTTTGACTGCGCCTTTGCCCTCCCCCGCCCCCATCCCCGCCCACCCTGCTACCCCCAGCTCAGGCTACAACCAGCTTGGGCGCAACCTAAGCTTGTCCACAACATGATAGAAATGTAAATTGTATTGTTTGGAAGAGCCCTTTTCACACTGGGGGAATCAGCCTTGATGCTCTCCTACTTTTGCTTGACAAGCAAGCCCACCCGGTGATGAGGCTGAGGAAAGTAGTCCAAAAAAAAACTGAGCAGATTTTCTCATAGACAGATTTGGAGACAATCTTTTCTTTGCCTCTGCAAAGTTATTTTCTACTCCCGAGGCTTCCTATGAACTGGTGTATTTGCACGCTGACCATCGCAGTGCTTGCAGCTAAATTTCAATCCATACCTAAACCAAAACCAATTTAATAAGAAATAGAAACATAGCAAACCTAGCACAACAGGAGGCTCTTCAACCCATCATGTCTATTTATCTGTTTTTCTAAATCGTCCTTGTCTATTAACCCCACTTCCCAGCTTGCTCCCCACATGCCTTTATGTATTTTACTGCTCAGGCGCTTATCTGATACCATTGACCCAACTTCAATTGCCCACTTGGGGAACAAAATCCAAACCCCAACAAGCCTCTGACTGAAGAAACTCCTTCCAACTGAGCGCTATAGAAACACAGAATGCAGAGAGCTAAGGGAGAAGGACTCAATTGGGATGGTTAGAGGCATGTTGGCTTGAGAAATAAGGATAATATGGGGTATGGGGAAAGGTGGGCAGATCGGATCTATGATGATGCAATAAAGTGCCTGGTCAGGCTGAATGGTTTCCTGTTCGTATGAAAAGGGTTCTGTTCCCTACTAGACTGTGGTGGCATCTGCCCAGCTCTCGTTCAGGAGGACTTGAACTCTGATTGGCCTGATTGGCAGTTCTCAAGTGCTGTGCAATGAACTTTAAAGTTGTTGTTTCCCCAAGAAGCTACAATGAAGGAGTACTGTACTTTATACCAAGGATACTTCTCCTGGCACTTACCCTTCAGTATGCGGCATGAAACACAGCTCTGTTCAGTCCGATGGAGTTTGCAATCTGACGAGAATTAACACAGCTCCATTCACATCCCATCCGCCTCACTGTTTGTCCATAAAATGTCGCTGTTGGCAACAGGCTGATTTTGTAAGTATCGACCATTCAGTGCCTCATTTTCAATCGGCACAATATTGGCACTGGGGGATGTAATGGACAATTGATGCCAGTTCAGTAGCTGAATGATTGGGGGAGGGGAGGCAGTCTGGGTGTCAGCGGTGGCTTGGATGGACAAGAAGAATAGGATTTTGAATGGCTTTGATAGATGTGGTGCTATAGAGCTTGAGCTGGGATGTGAAGAATTCCTCCAGCTTGTGAGTTTGATTCTCAGTCTCTGACAGGTAAATTGTGAGTCTCATTCCAATGTTTGGTTGTGTAATTCAGTACGTCTCTAAACCCATTCCCTGCTCTCTTCCATCCTGTCTGTGCTGGTGCTCTCTCCCCCACTGGAGGTCTCTGCTCTAAACCCATTCTCTGCTCTCTCCCATCCTGTCTGTGCTGGTGTTCGCTCCCCCATCAGCAGGCGGGTTTTCAGCCTATCTGTTCCCCCCTCTCTGGAACTCAATCCTGGAGTCTCTCCAACTTGACCCCTCTCTCCCATCATTCAAGGCCCATCTTGTCGGACTCCACAAATCTTTCCTCCACAAGCTGCAGATCATCCAGAACTCTGCAGCTCATGTCCTCTCCCACACCAGGCTCCGTGACCCCATCATCCCCACCCTCGCCTGGCTCCACTGACTCACCATCCCTCAGAGGACAGAATTCAAAATCCTCGTCTTCACTTTCAAGGCTCTCCATGGCCTTGTCCCCTCCTATCTCTCTTACCTGCTGACCCCCTATTAACCTGTCCGCTCCCTCCACTCAGCTGCTCCATGTCTCCCGCCCGACCCACCCTACCATTGGCAGCCGGGCTTTCAGCTTCTCTGCCCCCACTCTTTGGAAGTCCATCCCACAATTCTTTCATCTTGCTCCCTCCCTTACCTCCTTCAAGGCACAACACAAGACCCTCCTTTTCGACCGTGCCCCCAGCCGCCCTTCTACCTCTCTGCCCTCCCTCATCCCAACCCTGCTCCCCCATGCTCGGGTCCTGATCCCCGACTGTTCAGCACCTTGGGACATCCTCCCAATGTGAAAGGAGCTTTACAAATGTAATTTTATTGTTGTTATTCCTCCTTGACTGTGGTTTTGGTCATCTCTCCCCCCACTCCTCCCTTGGATCCCACCTCCGTTTGGATGTGCGCCTGGCATTGTTAAATGCTTTGAGATGTCTTCCCGATATGAAAGGAATGTGTAAATGTATTAATTGTATTGTAATTCACAGTATTGTTCTAATCACCACAGAATATACTCAAGAAGCACTGACACATATCCACCAGCTGTGTGTGTGTGTGTGTGCGCAGGGGTGGAGGGGGGAATCATTGTTCCAATTGGCAATTAAAAGTATTTTTAATTACCAATTGGAACATGTTACCAGGGTGGATGTTGAGGCAGGGTGCTGGACTCAATAAATAAACAGTTTGATGCTGAGGATGTTAAAGGTTGGTATCTCATATGATCTTGTTAACGACAGCATGATAATATAATAATCCTTGCATTTGATATCAGGCCCTAATCATGTCATTGATGCATCTCAAAGCACCTCACAGGAATTAATCAATAAACTAAAGGCAAAGTACTACAGATGCTGGAAATCTGAAATGAAAACAGAAGTCGCTGGGATACTCAACAGCATCTATGGCAAGAGGCAAGTGGATTAACATTTCAGGTCAATGACCTTTGGTAAGAACTGAGGTTCATCAAGTTCCAGTGACTTCTGTTTTTATCACAGGGTTTAACGTTAAGTGTAAAACACTTGTGTATTTTGTGGGCAAATGTGTCAGCCAATTTGTGCACAGAACAACGTCCAACCAGCCATGAGGTGAATGACCAATTTTATCCTGGAGAGAGAAACTTCCTTCTCTTTTCGATTAGTGCCATTGGGTCTTTAATATCTATCTAAAAAGACAAACATCTGTTTAATGTCTCAGCATCTTTGATAATGCGGCAACTGCAAAACTGCACTGGAGTGCCAGGCTAGACTGTGAGCTGAGTTGCTATAATAAATGCAATGATTTAAACACAAAAAAAATTATTTGGTAACTCAATCCACGATTGTTTATGGGACACTACTGTGCCGCATTTCTCCCACAAAATACAGTCAATCCACTTTACAATATATTCTGTGATGCACTTTGAGACGTCTCAATGACGTGATAAGGCACTATATCAAATGCAAGGAGTATTAGTATATATTATCATGATGTTGTGCGATGGTTCTTGAAGTTGACAGCCCAAAGCTCATCAAATACTAACTTAAAAATTAGGTACGCAGGATGTGTCCCTCCAGGGAGAGAGTGCGCATTCCATTACAACAACCTATCTCTGGGATTTCCATGTGTAAGTGGGATGGATGGAAATCTCAGTTTGGTTTGGATACTCTTAAGGATGGTAATGGGTTTCCGCATGTGTCAGACACCTGACTGACCCCCCCCCAAAAAAAATAGCTCAAAATTAGCCCAATATTATGGGAGTCCTGAAGCTCAGTGGTTAGAGCACTCGCCTCGAAAGCGAGAGATCTGAGTTCAATTCCCTTCAGGGCGAAACCTTGGGCAAGTTTCCTTACTCCACACTGATAATAATCCCTCACGAGAAAAATAATAAAATTGGTCACTTCAATCCACGACTGTTTGTGGGACACTGTTGTGCGCAATTGGCTGCTGCGTTTCGCCCACAAATATAGTCAATTCACTTTACAGTATATTCTGTGAAGCGCTTTGAGACGTCGAGAAGATGTGAAAAGCACTATGTCAAATGCAAGGATTATTATTATTATTATTATTATTAAGCGTTGTCCGCTGTGGGTAAGCAGAGCGGCCAATTAGAAAAGGTCTTCAAAGGAAAAGGTTTTGCAGGTTTAAATGTAAAAGTTGCACTCAGATGTTTTATGATTATCACCAGCAACAAAACAACNAAAACAAACCCAAACCCCCGACTGACCACTGGGCACATGGCCTGGTTTACAGGGGTCAGTCAGGAGGCGGCCCCACTGCCGGGGCTGGTACTTCATGAGCAGCAGTGAAGGCCGCTGCACATGCACACACTGGCCACTGGGGAGCGCACGGGAGCAGGAGGCGCCTGGCCCCGGAACTCATCCTCTGAACAGCAGTTGCCGGGGGAGTGGAGTTGGGGGGACGGTCCGGGCAGAGGGATGGGATGGCACATGGCTTTCCGTGGGGACGGGTTTGAGCGGCGGACCGTAGGTTGACTCAGTCCCCGGCGGTGGACTCTCTCTCTCTCTCTCCAGTTAATTGTTTGTGTTGCAAACCGTGTGTGTGTGTGTGAGGGTGTGTGTGAGGGTGTGTGTGTGTGTGTGAGGGGTGTGGGGGTGTGTGTGTGAGGGGGTGTGAGGGTGTGTGTGTGAGGCGGTGTGTGTGTGTGTGAGGGTGTGTGTGTGTGTGTGTGAGGGTGTGTGTGTGTGTGAGGGGTGTGAGGGTGTGTGTGTGTGTGTGAGGTGTGTGTGAGGGTGTGTGAGGGGGTGTGAGGGTGTGTGTGTGTGTGTGAGGGTGTGTGAGGGTGTGTGTGTGTGTGTGTGAGGGTGTGTGTGTGTGTGAGGTGTGTGTGAGGGTGTGTGAGGGGGTGTGAGGGTGTGTGTGTGTGTGTGAGGGTGTGTGAGGGTGTGTGTGGGGGTGTGTGTGAGGGGGGGGGGGGGGGGGGGGTGTGGGGGTGTGTGTGAGGGTGTGTGTGTGTGTGTGAGGGGGTGTGAGGGTGTGTGTGTGAGGGTGTGTGTGGGGGTGTGAGGGTGTGTGTGTGAGGCGGTGTGTGTGTGTGTGTGAGGGTGTGTGTGTGTGTGTGAGGTGTGTGTGTGAGGGTGTGTGTGTGTGTGAGGGGGTGTGAGGGTGTGTGTGTGTGGGTGTGTGTGTGTGTGTGTGTGAGGGGGTGTGAGGGTGTGTGTGTGAGGCGGTGTGTGTGTGTGTGGGGTGTGTGTGAGGGTGTGTGTGTGTGTGTGAGGGGTGTGAGGGTGTGTGTGAGGGGTGTGAGGGTGTGTGTGTGAGGCGGTGTGTGTGTGTGGGGGTGTGGGGGTGTGTGTGAGGGTGTGTGTGTGTGTGTGAGGGGGTGAGGGTGTGTGTGTGAGGGTGTGTGTGTGAGGCGGTGTGTGTGTGTGTGTGAGGTTGTGTGTGTGAGGGTGTGTGTGTGAGGCGGTGTGTGTGTGTGTGTGAGGGTGTGTGAGTGTGAGGGTGTGTGTGTGTGTGTGTGAGAGCGCCTTTTCCGGGGTGAGCAGGTTTTGTAAAACAAATCCCGGGTCACATGTAAAGCAGTTTGTTGGGTTAATGGCTGTGTTTTTCTGATGAGTTTTAGAATTTTATTCTTTCCTCCTCTGCTGCTGAACTCCGCCCGAGGCGGGTTTGGCCCCCGGGACCCCGTACCTCATCTGGGGACTGTTCCCAGGATTGGGGGACGTCCGGTCACCCGAGCCCAGGCCGACAAGGGGTCTCAAAGCTCGTCACAGGATATACCAGAAATGATAATAATCCTTACATTTGATATAATGCCTTATCACATCTTCAAGATGTGTAAACTGCTTCACACAATATACTGTAAAGTGTTGTGACTGTGTATTTTGTGGGTGAGCGCAGCAGCCAATTTGCAGGCAGCAATGTCCCACAAACAGCCATAGAGCGAGTGACCAAATCTCATTGGGGAGATTGTTGCCCCGGACCACAGGAGAGAGAAAATCCCTTCTCTTTTTGAATAGGGCCACAAGATCTTTAACGTCCACCTGAATAGGCAGGTGGGACCTTGGTTTAATGTCTCATCCAAAGGACGGCACCTCCGACAATGCAGCGCTCTCCCAGTATTCCATTGGAATATCATCTTAGATTATGTAATTCAAATCCCAATGTGGGTCTTGAACCCAGAACCTTCTGACTCAGACGCAAGAGCGCCGTCACTTGAATCAGGCTAACAACTAAATACAAATTTGTCCACGGTTGGGTTTTACTCGGAAGCCTTCAAACTGACCCCATAAATTCCAGTTTTCCCAGAAGCACTGAAGTGACCTGCAGCACCCAAGTAAGATCAGTCACTCAGGTTTTAACCTGTACCGTCGCAGCCTCCTGCCGTGAGTGCTTCCTGCAGAGCAGGTGGGATGGTAATTGGGCTAATCTGAAAACTGGGTTTGTGTTTCTCCTTTATGGCCTTTCAAATTCACCTTTGTTTCTTATTTATTTTACCTTTATTTTCCTGAGGAAATTAAGTGAGGTAGTGAAGTCCGGCCCGCACAATGAATACCTTTGGATTTACAGCTTTTCTTTGAAACCTGACATTATGGATTCAATTTGGGTTCCAGTTGTAGTGTTAGAGTTTCTCTTTGTTGTATTTGAAGGTGGGGCCCACCAATGGCTGGGCAGGGTCAGGGCATGAGGCAGGCTGAAGGTGACAGTGGTTAGGGAAATAGGAGGAAGAGATCACAGAGGTAGGATTTTGCAAACCAATGAAGGTGAGGACGAGTATCTTAAACTTGATGTGGTTGGGGGAAATGGGAGCCAGACGAAGATGGGGGGCGTTGGGCTTGTGGGGCCTCGTATGGGAGAGGATACAAGATGTGGAGTGTTGTGTGAAGTTTGTAGAGCTGGAGAGGCTGGCGAGCAGAGTGGGAAAAGGCGGGTGTAGAGGTGACCAGTGTTGATGAGGTTTCATAACATCGAGGCTTGACTATTCAAACTCCTTGCTTGTTGGTCTCCCCAACTCCCCCTTCCTTACACAGCAGATCATTCAGAACTCTGCAGCCCGTGTCCTCTCCCTCACCAAGCTCCGCTACCCTATCATCTCCAACCTTGCCCGACTCCACTGGCTTCCCATCACACAGAGGATACAGTTCAAGATCCTGGTCCTCACCTTCAAAGCACTCCATGGTCTTGCTTCCCCCTACCTCTGTGACCTTCTAACTCCCTGCCATCCTGCCTGCTCCCTCCGCTCAGCAGGCTCCCACCTGCTTCATGTTTCCTGCCTTGCCCGCCCCACCATTGGTGGGCCCACTCTGCCCCCACCCTCTGGAACTCCATCCTGCAGTCCTCACCCTTGCCCCCTCCCTTGTCCCTTCCCTTGTCCCCTTCAAGACCCATCTCAAGATCCTCCTCTATGACTGTGTGGATCATCCTGCTTCCCCCCCCTGCCCTCCACCCTCCCCAACACCGACCCCCAGCTCAAGTCTGAAACACTGACTCTCCAGCATCTTGGGACGTCCTCCCGAAGTGAAAGGTGCTTTACAAATGTAATTTTGTTGTTGTTGGAGGCAGGGTTGTGATGGAGCAGGCAGTGTGTGGAGATGGACTTGGTCAGAGGTTGGATGGAAGTTTTGAAGGAGAGTTGAGGATTAATTGTTTTTGAATAAATTTCCAAGGGTTCCCTCAGACTCAGTAAATTGGAATGAGCAGGCGATGCAGTCCCTAAGTGAGGAGTTGCTGACCGGTGTCAAACAGGATGTCCCCAGTTTGGTTAATGTTAATTTAGAGAAAATTACAGCTTCACAGTGATGTAGCTGCAATCCTCGTGCAGTACTATTTGAGTTCAGTGCAAGTCCTGTTGCTTGGAGCAGCGTCAGTCTGCCAGTGGGTGGAATTATTCAATGCTGAATCTACTGTTCACTTTACAGAAACCCAAAGACTTGAGATGACAGACACTCAGGTCTACCAGGAAGTAAACCCAGTCTTTCTGCAGCAATTGGTGGACTTGGGAATCCCGGAAAAGAATGCCAGGGAGGTGAGTGAACATTAGACTGTCCCTAATAAGATAAGGGCAAAGATTATTATTTGCACTGGTAAGCGCTTTGAGATGTCCTCCTGACATGAAATGTTATAATATTGTATTACATTATTGATGGCATTGTCTTATTAACTGTGGTTTCACCATGACATTAATTGATATCTTGCTCCATGTGCGGCAGTGCTGATCAATGTGTGGTCTCTCTCCCTCACACAGGCCCTTATTGTCACTGAAAATCAGTCCAGTGATGCGGCTGCTCTTTATTATTTCAATGAGGCCCAGGTAAGGACATGTTTTCATTGCGTTTCTCACAGAATGTATATCCCAACATGCAGAAGTAGCTGAATATTACAGCAATGATAATTCTAGGTATTTAAAACTAAAATGGCTGGCTCAGTGATAGCACTTGTGCCTCTGGGTCAGAAGGTTGTGGTTTCAAGCCCCACATTGGGACTTGGAATCACATAGTCTCAGCTGACGTTCCAATGCAGTGCTGGGGTGTGTTGCATTGTCAGAAGTACCATCCTTTGGATGAGATGTTAAATCGAAGTCCCGTCTGTCGGTTTAGGTGAATGTTAAAGATCCCATGACGCTATTAGAAAAGAAGAGGGAGTTTCTCTCTCGGTGTACTGATCAACAATCCCCCAATAAAATTGGTCACTCACTCCTTGACTGTTTGTGGGTAATTGTCTGCTGTGTTCACTCCCAAAACACAGAGTCAATCCAATTTACAGTATCGCTTTGAGACAACTTGATGACATCTAAGGCTCCATATCAAATTAAGGATTATTATTGTATCATGAATACACTGCTGAATCAGAAAGTTGTGGGTTCAAACCCCATGTAAAGTGTAGTGACTGTGTATTTTGTAGATGAACACTGCACATGCACAGAAAAATCCAAACTTGGAGATTGGCCTTCATTTTTTACCTTTAATCTGCAGATGCCAACTGAGCATTGCTCCCAGAGCTGCAAGATGGTGTTTGTGGTGAACACAGAGTTGTGTATGGGTGCTGGAAAGGTTTGTAACTCCTTCTCTCATCTTTTCCCTTGCCACAACAAACTGAGGAACTAAACCAAGCCCTCTATTTCCAGACATCTCACAACAACAACAAAATGACATTTATAGAGCACCTTTCATGTCGGGAGGACGTCCCAAAGCGCTGAACAGTCGGGGGTCGGGGTCCGAGCATGGGGGAGGGGTGGGAGAGGGGTGAGGGAAGGCAGCGAGGTTGGAGGGTGATCAAAGGCACGATCGAAGAGAAGGATCTTGAGACCGGCCTTGAAGGAGGCAAGGGAGGAAGTGAGGCGAAGGGACCGTGGGCTGGAGTTCCAGAGTGTAGGGGCAGAGAGGCTGAAAGCCCAACAATGTGATAAGGCACTATATCAAATGTAAGTATTATTATTATTTTATGGTTGAAGCTCTCTTAAAGGAGCTGCAGATATTAAATAAATGTACATTAATTACCCTGCTATTTCTCACAAGATTTCTTTTTTACTTTATGAAGGTTTTTGAACATCAGTAAACAGAAAGTCACTTCTATTCACGTTTCTGTGGACTGCATACAAACGCACAGCTCTGTTGCTGTGAGTTCTTGTGCACACTGTGGTTTGAGACCCCGATTGGGTGTTTGAGCAGAAACAGGGTATTTGGTGGTGGGGGCTGGTGCGTGAATCTGTTCCTGAAAACACTGCAGAAATGGGGAATTTACTGTGTGTGGGAATTGGAGCTTAAATCTCTGGCATGCTGGCTTTATACAAGACAAGATTACAGCATTGATTAATATTAATAATTTATTTTATCAATAGTAATACTTGCATTTGATAAAGCACTGTATCCCGTCATTGAGACGTCCCAAAGCGCTTCACAGAATATATTGCAAAGTGAATTGACTTGTGTAATTTGTGGGCGAAATGCAGCAGCCAATTGCATGCGGCAGTGTCCCACAAACAGTCCACAAACAAAGTTTATAAAACTGCCAAGAAAAGCAGCAAATCTGAAGTTTGGGAGAGTTTTAGAAACCAGCCAAAAAAAATAAAAAACTCATTAAGAGCGAGAAAAAGGAGTATGAGGGTAAGCTAGCTAGGAACATTAAGTCAGATTGTAAAAGTTTTTACAAATATATTAAGAGCAATAGGCTAGTGAGGGTAAATGTAGGTCCACTTCAGTCAGAGACGGGAGAAAGTGTAATGGGGGATAAGGACATGGCAGAGTTCCTAAATGGGTACTTTGCATCTGTTTTCACTCTTCACCCTAGAAGACACAACAAGTCTGCCAACAATAGAGATGCACCAAAGTATAAGGACAGGGAGCAACTTAGAGAAATTTTTATTAATAGAGATTTGGTGCTCGGGAAACTGTTAGCACTAAAAAGTGACAAATCCCCTGGTCCGGATGGCTTGCATCCCAGGGTTTTAAAAGAGGTAGCTTATGAGATAGTGGAGGCCTTGTGTCTGATCTTCCAAAATTCCTTGGATTTTGGAACAGACCCCATGGATTGGAAGATTGCAAATGTCACACCACTGTTTAAAAAAGGTGGAAAGGAAAAGATGGGGAACTACAGGCCAGTTAGTCTCACATTAGTGATAGGAAACATTTTAGAATCATTGATTAAGGATGTGGTAGTGCAGTATTTAGAGGAGCACAATATAATTAGGCCAAGTCAACATGGCTTTACAAAAGGGAAGTCATGTTTGACAAATCTCATAGAATTTTTTGAGGATATTTCCAATAAACCAGATAAGGGTGAATCAGTCGATGTGGTCTATTTGGACTTCCAGAAGGCATTCGATAAGGTGCCACATAAAAGGTTAGTCCAAAAAATAGGGGCCCATGGAATTGGGGGGAATATATTAACGTGGATTGGGAAATGGTTAATGGGTAGGAAACAAAGAGTAGGGATAAACGGTCCTTTTCGGATTGGCGGGATGTGACTAGTGGAGTGCCACAAGGATCAGTCCTTGAGCTTCAGCTATTTACCATCTACATCAACGATCTAGATGAGGACATCGAAGTTAATATATCTAAATTCACGGATGACACAAAACTAGGAGGAAGTGCCAACACAGAGAATGACATTAAAAAAATGCAGCGAGGCATAGATAGGTTAGGTGATTGGGCAGGTAGGTGGCAGATGAAGTATAATGTAGGGAAGTGCGAAGTCATCCACCTAGGTAGCAAAAACAGTAGAGCGGGTTATTTTTTAGAAGGGGAGAGATTGGAATGTGTTAGCGTCCAGAGGGACTTGAGTGTCCTTGTACACCAATCACAGAAAGTTAGTCTGCAGGTGCAGCAGCAATTAGGAAGGCGAACGGTATGTTAGCATTCATTATGAAAGGGTTAAAGTATAAGAGTAGGGAAATCTTGCTGCAACTGTAATGGCCCTGGTGAGACCGCACCTGGAATACTGTGTGCAGTTTTGGTCTTCTTATTTAAGGAAGGATGTACTTGCCTTGGAGGGGGTGCAGCGTAGATTTACTAGGTTAGTACCAGGGATGAAGGGGATGAGTTACGAGGATAGGCTGACCAATTTGGGCCTATATTCTCTAGAATATAGAAGAATTAGAGGGGATCTTATAGAAACCTATAAGATCATCAAAGGGCATGATAGAGTAGATAGTGGGAGATTGTTTCCCCTGGTTGGAGAAACTAAAACCAGGGGTCACAACCATAAAATCAGAGGTCAACCCTTTCGCACTGAGTTGAGGAAGAACTTCTTCACTCAAAGAGTGGTGAATGTATGGAACTCACTACCTCAAAGGGCTATTGATGCTCAGTCCTTGAACATATTCAAGACTGAGATAGATAGATTTCTTATTGCAAAAGGGATTAAGGGATATGGGGATAAGGCAGGATTAGGTTATTAGCTGGAGTTAGGTTAGAAGATCATCCATGATTGAATGGCGGGGCAGGCTCGAAGGGCCGAATGGCCTACTCCTGCTCCTACATGTTATGTTATGTTCGTCTCGGACTGAGATTTTTTTTTGAGGAATTATTACCCGCGGAACGCGATCTGCCAATTGACTGATAACCGGGTTCCTACTTACCGCTAGATAAACAGGCTGATGGAGCAAGGAAGATTTTGCTCCATCGGAAATCGAATCTGGGTCCTCTCGCTTCTCGCTCAAGGCGAACATGATAACCACTGCGTTAAGGGACTTTTTAATTGAGCAGCCGCTGCCTCCCCCGGGCTCTCTGTGCAGTCATTTCTCTATTGAGATATGTGTATATATCAAAGTGTCGTGTGCTGGGTTGAGGTGTCAGTGATTCTCTCTAAACCTGTTAAATGGCAGATGGCAGCTCAGGTCGCTCACGCTGCGGTGGGGCTGTACCAGACGATGACTGACGAGGCAGCCTTCTGGCGACTGATGCTGAACAAGTGGGACGAGGAAGGGTGAGTGCTGGCACTTTGAAACTTTTCAAACGGGCGAAGCTACAGCAGTTAACAGGAAGATAAAGTAATGTTTTATTTCTGCCTTCGCTGCTCGCCATTTCACAAGAAGACTTGAAAGAATGGCCCAGCCAATATCCATATCACAAAAAGTTTTTTCTCCTTTAGATTTACGGCCATTGTCTCTATTAGTTACTAGTCCTTTGAGTTATTTTTCTTTTTACTGTTCTCTAGTTCCTTTTCTGCATAAACTATCTATTTGCCGTCCTACTCCCCCCCCCCTCCCCGAATTCTCCCAACCTCCTGGGGTTCCATTCTGCTTTAGGACATTTTCCTTTGCAATATATTGCAGTATAAGAGAACTGATTAGGAAACAGCTCGGGTCTGCTTCCAAGGCTGACTGTTACTTTAATCTGAGCAAAGAGCCACAATCCCTTGAACTGGCAGTAGAAAGTCACTTCACAACATGTTGGACAATTGGACAGTGGCATTGAGAGTGCAAAGAAATCCTGTCTTGTCTCTAGCACATCTGGGAAACCTCTATTCAATATACAAGGAATTTATCAAATTTCAAGTACAAATCAGACTCAAGGGCAACATGCAGTGCTGAAAAGTGAAGGATGCTTGGGTGAGAGGGGTTAAAATGCTACCTTTTCCCTTCCCCTCCTCCACCTCATTTCTTCCTCTCCTGAAAGCATGAGTCAGACCTGCTTTTTGGGATGATAATATTTTATTCTAATACAACAACAACAACAACTTGTGCTTATACAGCGCCCTCCACGCAGGGTAACGTCTCAGAGCACTTAACAGTAGCGGAGCCGGAGGGAGGTGGCCGTAAGCACGGTCGATGAGGAAAGTTTTCAGGCGGGATTTGAAAGAGGGGAGTTAGGGGGCAAGTCAGAGGGATTGAGGAAGAGTGTTCCAGAGTTTTGGGGCGTAGTGGCTGAAAGCACGACCTCTGATGGTGAGGTAGAGGGTGCGAGGGATGAACAGGAGATCGGTGCCAGTCAGGCGAAGGCACCGGGTGGTGGTTTGGGGAGTGAGGAGGTCGAGGGGTCGGGAGATGCTCGGGATTGAATGGATTTGAACACAAAACAACAACTACTTTAACTTATATAACGCCCTCCACGCAGGGTAGCGTCTCAGAGCGCTTAACAGTGGCAGAGCCCGACTTTGAGCTGGGGGGTGCGGGGGGTGCCTTATGCATAGTCGAAGAGGACCGTGAATAATCATTTTGATTGTGATTAATAATAATTCTTAAAAGACAATATTAATTATTAAAGGATAATCTTTTTGTTCAGATTGGTTAATTTCGTCATTCAGTTCACGACTGTTTGTGGGACACTCCTGAGTGCAATTGGCTGCTGCGTTTCACCTACAAAATACCCAGTCAGTCCACTTTACAATGTATTCTGTGAAGTGCTTTAAGATAACAACGTGATAAGGTTCTACATCAAATACAAGGATTATTATTATGATGGCGGGTCCCTACCAGTTGAAGGGTATTTCTAGTATTCAAATCTGATCCTGTCCGTACATGTACACCTCCCAGCAAAGGTCACAAGGTTTGGGAATTTCTTCCCCCGCCAGCCTCCAGCTTCCCTTAGATAGCCCAAGGCCACTGAGGTCACTTGAAATGCTGGCACACTGGATACGACCCATCATATCTACTCTGATGTTTCCGTAATAATTTTGAAGATCTGTATCAGATCACATTTAACCTTTTCAGCTCTAGTGGATAAAGCCCTAATGTCTCAAGTCTCTCCGTATCTGAAAGCCCTGCTACCTTTTCCATTGCTTTTATATCCTCTCCAGGCTGGGGTGCTCAAACTCTCCATGATCACAACAGTTCACAAAAAAAGGACAGTCACTCCACTTGATAGTAAATCCTGTGAAGTGTTTTGAGATGTACTTCCGATGTGAAAGGCGCTACACCAAATTAAATGTTTATTATTAAAAATTGGCGACTAAGTATAAGCCCAAATCCTCTCCTGCATCAAGTCCATTACCTCAATCCTCATCATTCCTATCCCTGTGATCAGGAATACAGTAATGTGATCAATTACTTTTTCCTTCAGCCAACTGCAGTCTGTTTCATGCTGCCCACCCCACACTGGTGACTGAGCCTTCAGCTACTTTCCCCACCCTCTTGAAATCTGTTCTGATATCCACCTTGTCCCCTTCTGTCTCTGACTTCAAAACGCACCTGGAGATCTATCTCTTTGCTTGGGTCAGACTGGTCTTTTGTTCTGTGTCCAAGGTCTTCTCTTCACCCTGCCCCCTTCTGTAAAACTCAGTGATATTGATAGTAAAATGCCTTCTACAGAAAGCATTGGGTGGTGATGGGGTAGGGGTAACAGTCATTATCTCACCCAGCCATCCCTCCTACTCCTCATGTTCTCAGCTAGATATAGCTCTTGCTGCTAGGTTCTTGCGTTCTGTGACTGAATATGTGATGTCTTGTTTAAACCAGGGCTAAGAAGATTGTACTGAAGGGACGGAACTATAAACACATCCTTGAGTTACAAGAAAAGGCTGCCAGGCTGGGGCTGCCCCAATACCTGGTTCAGGATGCAGGTAGAACCCAGGTGAATATTGTTCTAAGATTGATGAGATTGAACTTGTGAGATAGGCTTTCATATTCTTACATAATTACATTTAGTCAGAAGTGTCAGCCTAGCTCACTCTCACCTCTAAGGTTGTGGGTTCAAGCCCTCACATCAGGAACTCATACAGTCTGGGCAGATGCTGCAATGCAGTACTGGTGGTCTGCTACATTGTTGGAGGTGCCACCATTCGGTTGAGATATTAAAAATGAAGTTCCGTCTGTCTGTTCAGGTGGGTATTAAAGGTTAAAGATCCCATGGGATACAAAAAGAGAAGGGAGTTTCTTTATCCCGCTGTCTGGTCCAAAAATCCCCCAAATAAAATTGGTCGCTCACTCCATGACTGTTTGTGGGTCATTGCTGAGTGTAATTTGGCTGCTGTGTTCACCCACAAAATTAACATCCTGCATATCTCGGGCGCTGACCATATCATCCTTCATGGGTGCACTCTACACCTCATGGAACTAATACGGAATCTCGGCATCCTGTTCGATCCTCAACTGTCCTTCATCCCTCACATCCATGCCATGACTCCACCTCTGCAAAATGACTCTGCTCTGCTACTGTCTCTCATCGCAAGCCACTGAGATACTCATTCACGCGTTCATCACATCCAGCGGAGAGGGAGATTTGTTTCCAACGGCGGTAGAAGATAGAGGTGGGCTGAGTTGGGAGAGGGGTGTGGAGGAGTTAAAGGTGATGAAGTAGTGATCCTAAATGGCTTTGTCAGTGATGGTGATGTTGAGCCCCCAGATGATCACCAGATCAAGGGGATGACCGTGGATCTGGGTGGCAAAGTTGATGGTAGGGGTAGGTTGTGGGAGGAGAGAAGTCAGCAGAGGTAGAGCAGGAGGGGATGAAGTAGAGGTTGAAGTCGCCCATCAGTTGGGCTTTCAACTTTTCTGCCTCCACTCGCTTGAACCTTTGCCTCTTTCCTTCCCTCACCTCCTTCAAAGTTCATCTAAAGACTTCTGCTAAGACCGTTCCTTTGGTCTTCTTGCCACCCCTTGTCCCCCACTGCTCATGAATCCAACCCCCGTCTTGGGTGCAACCCCCCAACTGTCCAGGGCCCTGGGACAATTTTCCCAACATGAAAGACTATATAAATGCAATGCAATTTGCTGTTGTTTTGTAGTTGATTCAACTATAGGGGCACCACACCCACGCCTGGTCCTGTCGATACATATGCAGTTTTCCAGCAAAGGTATTTGATGCCAATTGTGATTTCCTTGCAACCACCGTGGCTGTAATCATAGTCAACCAAATACAGGTCTTTGTGTGGTGTATATCAGTACCTTCACACATATTCTAATTAGCCACCGAGCGACTGAGGAATGCAAAACGATTTGTTTTAAAACTACATTCAGTACTTTGTTGATGATGTCTAGCCTTTTGTTTTCTGATTAAATCAGGTTGCAGCTGGATCATGCACTGTGCTGTCAATCATGGGTGAGGAGGTAAATGTCAATCAAGTGACTGGAGATCTACAGCTCTTATGATGTAAATGACTGAGGAATCGCAGGAGGTTGTAATGAAACAGCAGAGATGTTTACCATGTGCTGTACCCAGGCTCTGCAAATAGATAAACCAACTGCCATTTTCCCAAGCAATTTAATTTCTGATTCCTTGAGTTTTAGTACTTTTATCCTCGGTTGGACATTTTAGAAGCTCAATCAGTATAATATCTTTCCTAACTTGGTATTTGATCTGGGTGAGCCATCACTATTTGACTGGCTGTTAAACAGCAGCCTATATAGAATGAAGGAGTCACATCTGAGAAGACTGAGTTATATCTGCAGTCAATAGTGCAGTCACTAGTGTCAGATTAATGGGCAGGCTGTCATTCTGAAAGATTGTTAAGATCAACCGACCATATTTGTCAGTTAGACTTAATTTAGTGGTGGATGCACGATAGTGAATGGGTTGAGCGATGGTGAGGGATAAGCTGGGCCAATAGAAAAGTCTGTCCCCACTTTTTTCCGCAAAGCCCTCTAAAAATGTAGTTTCTGGCCCGCGGGCCTCGCGCTGTTTACCTGGCGTCACTGTGGATAGGGCGGTTCTGGATCCGCGATGCGGTACATGCGGGAAATGGATTTCACTCGGGAGACCTCGCTGTTGTGATTGCATGTCTGTGTGTGAGTGTCTGTGTTTCTCTGTGTTTGTATGTGCCTCTTATATTTGTGTGTGTGGGTCTCTCAGTGTCCTCATGTTTAGTTTTTATCAATAAAGTGAAAAAATATACATTGGCAGTAAAATGTACCTCAATAGCATCAATGCCCCCCCACGATTTTCCACGCACAACAAAAATTTCCAAGCAAAACCCGCAAATTTTCCGCTCATTTTTGGGGCCAAATATTTCCGCCCTTTTCTATTAGCCCAGGGAATAGGATATAGAGGGGAGAGAGATTTTCTTTCCTTCCAGTAAGTGCTCCATGGTCCAAGCAAACAGTGCAGTATCTATCTGTATATTGAGGTGCTCTATGAATTAGTCAATACCTGTGTGTTATCTGATCAGGTATAAAGTCATGAAAATTCATCCATGACTCATTGAGCAAAGTTGCCAGGACATCTCCAGAAATGCGCAGGACCCCAAATTGGGAGGAATGTTGCATTAAACAGGTAATAGTTAATAAGATTCAGTACAAAGGAGCATGGTTAGGACTTATTGTTTGAAATTACATGTTTATTTTTGGGAGGAACTATACTGCCATGAAATAAAGCACTCTGTTCTTTGATTACTGTCTTTGTGCATGCTCTCTCGCAGGTACCTACCTACCTATTCATTCTACCCCTTCCTCTTCCTGTGATTAGTATTTAATTAAACCTAACTGTTATACCATTATTCAGATAAAGAAGTGTACAAGATTGCAGTTACACAAGATTTTCTCAAGCTGAAAATTACTCAGGCCATTTTTTAGTTAAAGCCTTCCTATATGAGATATTGAAAACTATCCAGCAACAAAATAAACCTCCCAGGTAAAGTCAGTCTGTTTCATTTGTCACTGTGGTTTGATGATTCATTTTGCAGCTAGAATGTGAGACTGCTTGTTCCAGTGTTCACATTGTTGCACAACTATGAAGATAGCGAGTTCCTACTCTTAACTATCAAATATTGCTGTTTAGACTACACTGATACTCTTCAGATCCTGTCTGCTTGTCAAGTGAAATTTTAAGATCCCATTAGGAAGAAAATTGAGTGGCTACAGCACCAACAATCCTCCAGGTTAATCGGTCAGTCTCATAGAATTTGTGGGACCCTGATTTGTACCAAATGGCTGCTGTGATAACCTGCTAAAACAGGCAGTGATAACTGCTGTGAAACACTTTTGAGATAGTCTGATGTATAGGTTGCTGTAAAAATGTAAATTCTTTCAAGGCATTTAATAACAATGTTTCACAATTTTCTGTAATGACTATTTGTAGATGAACTCGGTAGTTAAATCACTGACACCAATATCAATTTCCACAGCCAAATATCGTCCAAAGTGAAGCAGTATCATCTTACTGCTGCCAAAAACTTGAATAGGATATCGTTAGAGCACCAAACAAGCATAGGGTCAGACCCCAAAAGAGGGCAAAGGGGGAGTCACTATGTGTATGGTGTAGTTTAAATATATACACAGGAGAATAGAGGCTTACTAGGCTGTTGATGAAAAGAATCACTCAGCTGTTGCTCTGAATGTGGTACATTTGTAAAGGGTGAGAATACAACAACATGACATTTGTATAGCGTCTTTCACATTGGGAAGACGTCCTAAGGCATTGGACAGTCAGTGTTTCGGACCCGAGTTAGGGGTCAGGGTTGGGGAGCGTGGAGGAAGCAGGGTGCTTGAAAGCATGGTCGAAGAGGACGGTCTTGAGATGGGTCTTGAAGAAGGGAGGGGATGAGGTGGAGAGATTGTGGGATGGAATTCCAGAGGGTGGGGGCAATGGTTGAGGGCCCGCAAGCCAATGGTGGGGCTGGCAAGGCGGGGTGCGTGAAGCAGGCCGGAGCCTGCTAAGTTGCCGTAGCAGGCAGGTTGGCAGGGGGTTAGGAAGTTGCAGAGGTTGGGGGGGATGGCAGGAGCAAGGCCATTGAGGGCTATAAATGAAATTTGTGAAGGTGAGGACCAGAATCTTGAACTGTATCCTCCATGTGATGGGAACCCATTGGAGTCAGGCGAGGATAAGGGTGATAGGATCACAGAACCTAATGTGGGAGAGGATACAAGCTATTTGGAGGATTTCTAGATGATCTGCAGCCTCTGGAGGGAGGAGTTGGAGAGGCCCAAAACCAGGGAGTTTGGATAATCAAGCCTGGATGTTATGAATGCGTATATGAGGGTCTTGGCAGCCTGCAGTGTGAGACCATGGTGGAGCCAGGCAATGTTGTAGAGGTGGGGGAAGGCAGAACGGGTCATGGCACCATTGTGGGCTAGAAAGGATAGTTGAAGGTCAAACAAGCTGCCATGGTTTCGGACTGACTCAATAAGGTGGAGTGTACATCGTTGAAATAATATGCTGTCAATGCCAGAGGTGTGGATGTGCTGACAGGAGCCAATCAGGAGAGCGGCGGTCTTGACGTTCAACTATAGAAAGTTAGCTCTCATCCAGGAGTTGATGTCTGGCAGACATTCTGTCAGGACAGCAGTGACCCCGGAGTCGAGGGTGGATACAGAGAGATAGAATTGGGTTGTCATCCACATCCTTGCCTGGCTTCACATGTCCCAGAGGATTCAAAATCAGAGTTCAAAATCCTCTTCCTCACCTGTTACTCTCCAGCCTTGCTCCTTCCCATCTCAGCGATCTACTAAAACTTTATCAACCCGTCCGCTCCCTCCACTCGGCAGGCACTGGCCTGCTCGATGTCCACCGCCCTGCCTTCTCCACCATTAGAGGTCAGACCTTCAGGCTTTCTGCACCCACCTTCTGGAACTCCATCCCGGATGACATCACCAAGAGGGAACATTAGATAAGGAAAAGGGGGGCAATGATGGAGCCCTGGGGTACCCCACAGGGTACCGGGAGGGACTCAGGGTGAAGCTCTTTCCATTAGTAGAAAAAGATGATGGAGAACTTGGAAGAGGCCGAGGAATGCAGGAGAGGGACATGAAGTGGTCCAAGGTGATCATGTCATGATAGACAGATAGGCAATGTCAAGGCCATGTGTGATGACGAGGTTGAGAGGGTGGCCAAGGTTGTGGGGAGCATGAGGTTTAGGGAGGAGGTCAGTGAAATCCAAGGTGGGAAAGGGGAGTTAAGGTGGAGGTTGAAGTCACCCACTATGAGCAGGTGTTCAGTGCAGATGGGCAGGGATGAGAGAGAAGATATCAGTGAGGAAGGAGCCAGGAGCTTTGAGGGGGCGGTAAACTAGGAAAATTTTGAGGGAGAGGGATGGTAATAATAATAATCCTTGCATTTGATATAGCACTTTTACGTCTTCTCAATGTCTCAAAGCGCTTCACAGAATAGACTGTAAAGTGAATTGACCGTATATTTGTGGGCAAAACGCGGCAGCCAATTGCACACAGCAGTGTCCCACAAACAGTCATGGACTGAAAATGACCAATTTATTATTGTTTTTTGGAGGGATTTTTATTAGGCGTGTGGAATAAGGAAACTTGCCCAAGGTTTCGTCCTGCCTGGAATTGAACCCAGGTCTCTCGCTTGCAAGGCAAGTGCTCTAACCACTGAGCTACAGGACTCCACTGGTAGAGACTGAAGTATTCAAAGGAGTGAGCGGTGTGGCAGTTGGGGTGGCTGCTCTGAGACAAACATCGCCGGGAGCCACGATAGACCTGGCGGAGGATGCCCAGGCTGGAGCAGACGGAGGTAACGGTGGGATCCGGAAGAGAGAGGTGAGGAGGGCAGTGGGAGAGAAGGGGAGAGTGGGAGTAGCGTGTGGGGGGTAGGAGCAAGAATATTTTCAGAGGAAGTGGCTCGGGTCAGCAGGCAAAATGCGCACGCAGAGACCGGGGAGCGAGCGATCAACGGGGCAAGATCAGCCCACTGGCTACGGAAGACATTGCAGGGGAGGGGTGTGGGGGGAGAATGGAGAGAGGGGATGGCGATCATGGCTTTGGTTCCAGAGACAGGGAGGGAAAGGAGGGAGAACAAGGTAGCAAAAAGCAAACTTTACACTAGACTTAGGCTGGAGGACTTCAAAGCAGGTCTCAAGACCTTCCTGCTTGGGTCCAAATTCCTGACTGTCCAGTACCTTGGGACGTCCTCCCGACATGAAAGGCGCTATACAAATTTAATTTGTTGTTGACTAGATCTGTTGTGTTAGAAATGGTTTGTTAAATTTAAATTTTTTTAAAAAATTAACTGATGTGGGGAACTAAACCTTCTAAGTTTGAACTATCCTATCGTTTAGCCTGCAGGATTATTGTGAGCGAACAGCAAGATCCCTCCCACTTGATGGCACTCAGGTACCAGATCATTAAGATCTTCACCCGCCATATTACCTCTCTCCCCAGAATGTCATAAATTGGTTATTACAGAGCGGATCAGCTTGTTTTTTAGCTCTCCCGGCACAATAGAATATCTTAAGACCTAAATTAACCATTGCAGTAAATATACATTTTGCTTTAAATGTGCCTGGTTCATTATGAGGTATCAAATATGTGCATTAGGGTGTAAAAAGAGCTTTTTTTAAAAAAAATCAGAATGATCAAGGCCAGTGTTGATTACTCCAAGCAAAAGAACACTCCTGGACGTTTTGTTATCTATATGTTCTAAACTCCAACCCACATTACTGAAGTAATTACAATTCCTATCTGTAAGACTACAGTGAACTATTTGGATCATTGCCAAAAGAACATCCTGAAGTCTGTCTCAGATGAAAAAAAACTTTTATAAAAAATTAAGTACATTAAGCTAACTTTCGGTCCATGTGCCGTGTGCCTTATTTTACTGATGGCTCCAGATGGTTACAATAGATAAAACATGTATTTACCTGCAGCAATGAAAAAGTACACAATTACAATGCGGCCCAGTTTGAGTTCTGAGATAAAGGGGGAGGGGGTAATCTCCTTGCATCTTACCTTCACTCTTAGTTGCAGCAGTGAACAAATTTGACATTACCTTCTCTGATTAACTTTTAAAATTGTTTGGATTAGTAATTGGAGTGCCTCAGCCAGGCAGTGGTAGCACTCTTGCCTGTGCGTCAGAAAGTTGTGGGTTCAAGACCCACATCAGGACGTGGAATCACAGTCTATTTTGACATTTTAAAGCATTGCTGGAGAGGTGGGGGGTGTTTCATTGTTGGGAGGCGACTTCAAAAAGAAAAGGGAGTTTCTCCCGGTGTCCTGGCCAATAATCCCCCAAATAAAATTGGTCACTATTCCATGGCTGTTTGTGTGAATTTCTATATACAAATGGCTGTCACATTTCGCTTACAACACACAATTAATCCACTTTACAGTGAATCATGTGAAGCGTTTTTGAGATGTCTTGACGACGTGAAAGGTGCTGTATCAAATGCAAGGATTATTATTATTGGAGATTTTTAAACTGGTGACTCATTGCAATCTTCTACTATTATTTTTGAAAAGAACTTATTACATCCTTGTTCAAAGTACTTCTCTCAGCTAGAAATCATAAAACATTACATATAATGAGGATGCCTTATAGTGACTCCACTCTAGCTGCTGTACGAGTAATATGGAGAGAAGCTTAGTACATCGCTAGGTAGCTCCCTTTACTTTAATAAGGAAATTGCTGCAGTTAGGCTTTGAATCTGATCAACTCTAGA